GGCAGAACTAGTGGTCGTGACAGTATGTCAAGGTTCCAAGTAAAGATGATGATTTGTCGATGCCATTCCCGTGAGTACTTGACCGCACTTGACGAAACTGGGATGAACGGCCAGGGAGATTTAAGCCGGTACTCGAGAGTTAGCTTGGCCTACTGGAGCAAACAAAAAGAACTTTCACAAAGTTTGGTTTGATGATGATTTATTCTTTTCCAGTTCATTCTATGACTATGACTTGTGTGTGATTTATGTTGGGTTGTCACGAAAGAATTTTGAGTTAGATCTGACCTTATTCCACGAGCTTTTAATTACTTCCCACGCTTCTCAACCTCTTAATCACCTGCTTTCCTTCATAATCCTCACCACCCACCCCACCACCACCCCGAGCCAGTCCCACAATCATACACAGAAAAAAATGGAATGTGCTCAAGCACAAGTTCTCTCTCAATCTCTCTCTCTCTCTCTCTCTCTCTCTCTCTCTCTCTCTCTCTCTCTCTCTCTCTCTCTCTCTCTCTCTCTTTTATAGCACATACTCGCGCGCAAAGACAGACAGACAGAGAGACAGACAGAGAGACAGACAGAGAGACAAAAAGACAGAGGGACAGAGAGGCAGAGAGAGAGATAGAACGTTATTTCTCTTTATCCCTTTCTTCCCCAAGTCTACCTTTCTAAGGGAATAAGTTTTGATGGGCGGGGTGGGGGGGGTTTTATAATAAAAAGAAGGAAAATCGGAAGCGGGGTTCTTACGACTGAGATAGAGCATCCATCAATACCAGAGAAATAGTAAGTAGCACAATGTACCGACTGTTCCTCGATACCGTTAAAATCGATTAAATTCCATTTCGAGTTTGGAGTGTTCTCGAGTTGTGTGGAAGAAGACCTAAACAGGGAGACGTTTGTTTGAGGTTCCCCCAGCCTCTGACGTCTTACCTCTCCCCGGGCTGCTGATGACGAAGCCATTTTGTTTACGAAGCCTTTAATGGAGGTTAGTATACACACAGCTAACGGCAACCGCTCTTTTTCCCTTCATCCTCGCATAATTTCTTCTCTTTCTTGCTATAATTTTAACTTCTCTTTCTTTCTTTCTTTCTTTGTTGTTTTTTTCTTTACTTGTTTCGTTTAATCCTTATCTTTCTTCTCTTAATATTTTAACAACTTTTCTTGCTTCTTTTCTTCTCTGTCTGTCTGTCTGTCTGTCTGTCTGTCTGTCTGTCTGTCTGTCTGTCTGTCTGTCTGTCTGTCTGTCTGTCTGATACTTTTCTTACTCATTCATTCTTTCTCTCACATCCTTTCGCTTCTTTTTCTGTCTTCCTTTCGCTCACTTTCCCCTCCCCACCT